GTGAATACACGGAGTAGGAAACTGCTAGAGGTGAACACGGAGGCTGCTGAAGCTCCTCTACCCATGGCACCAACCCCATGGCTGAGCCGAATGAGCAAGGGTTCTCTGGATTCTCATCACCAAACAAAGGAGTTATGCAAGACAGCAGATGTAGCTAAAACATGCAAGAGTTTTGCAATATTTGCAATTAGCCAGGAAAAAGTCAGTCCTTGACGCTTGCTGGAACTGACGCTGTTGCCTTAATTGAGTAGCTCCTCCTGGTCTTCAGTCAGCACATAAAATAGCACGTGCAGAGGGAAAAAAGCAAGTCCTGCGCATGTGATGAAGGAGGCAGCAGAAAAGTTAAAAAGGAAGTAAAAAGCAAATAAATTACATGTCTCTACCTGATAGCCATTCACCTTTTAATTCCATAAAGATCCAGAAAATGCTGAAGTGGCTACAGTTTGTGTTTTTTTTCAAAAGCAGAGCCATTACACGTGGCTTTGCAATAAATTTAGTTAACTTATAGCTCACCTGCTTCTTCAGTGTACTTCTCGAACATCAAGCAACTACTCTGCAAGATGCTTGGCCTCACTGGACTCTTCTGCAGGCTGCAGACACGCAGTGCAGCACACGGGTCTTCAACCACGCAGCATCATCTCCCCTGGCCATATTGCTCCTTGTTCCTTCTTCATTCGAAACTGTCAAGCTGGGCTGCAGGTTTTTTTTTTTTTTTTCTTTTTTTTTTTTTGTCTTCTGATAACCCTGGCTGGGTTTTAGGCAGAGAAAAATGAAGCAGAATGATGTTCATAGTCCTCAGGGTACTCACAGCAGCTTCCGCTTGGGATGTTAGCCACAGGCAGGCCTCAGGAATGTCCATTTCATCGTTATCAATGAACCAGCAGAACACTCCGCAGAAGGACAGGGGACGTATTTATTCTCTCTACTTGAGTCATTTGGTGTTAACAGCTGCAGTTGTCACTGACTGAGCCTGAACACCAAAATCCCTCCTTAAACTGCCGTGAGAGAACAGGAGCTGTGAACTGCTCACGTTGACACAAACTGAAGGCAGAGTAACATATTCAAAGTTATTTTCACTGGATTTCCTTTTGCTGTTTGCCAAAGTTATCTAGATAGATGTTTACCCTACCAGATCAAACCTACCTTACCCAGATCTCCAAATGAAGATGGGTATCCAGGAACACAGCACACATTTGGGACTACTCTACTGAGCTCTGGGAACAGCTGAGAGCAGCTTAATTTCTGAATTTGCCAATGCTTGGTTTACCTGGGGGACTCCTAAGTCACACTGAACTTGCTGTTGAGACGGGATAAATGTTTTAGGTGGGCTGAGTGCAGTTGCTGACACTAATTTCCTGTCTCCACGACCCTGAATATCTTACGCATGCACACACAGCTTTGGCTGCAGGCCAGGCCAGAGGACCTCAGCTATTTTTAATGGCTGTACTGGGATTGCCTACTGGAGCTATGCCACAGCAGAGCGGGGAAAAAAGGAGGATTCACAGGGCCAAAAGCCTGAGTCATTTAAAATAAAACTTCAAAAGCATCAGGCTGACATCTGTATTTAACTGTCTAGTGACAAAGAGCTCAAACAGCTGGGCTATTAATTAAAAACAGGAGCACCCCAGTGCAAGCACTTGAGCAGTGAGATCAGCTTGGGTCAGGGGGCTCGCAGGAGAGCGCTCTGGGGCGCTGCGGGCTGCTCTCAGCAGCGCCCTGCAGGGGCAGGCGGCCCAGCGCACCGGGCGCCGATCCTCCCCACACCGGGGGAAACGCTTCTGCATCGCCCCAGAACAGCAGCGCTTCGCCGAGGACCGACCGGGGTAATTTCAGTTGGTACCACTTAGGACTTGGTAAAAACAAAAACAAAAACAAAAAACAAACAAAATTTGCCAACCCAAAAACCCTCCGAAGCTTGAAATTCTTCATCTGTATTTTAGAAGAATGCACTTCATTAGCATGCACACCTTCCCTAAAAAAAAATGACAACTTGAATATCAGAATTGAAAAACTGAAATACCAAAATTTTAAAGAACTGAGTAAGATAGGTAGGATTGGACCTCCATCAGACATTGGAAACTATATGGATTTTAGAACATTATAGATAATATTTTATCAAGAGTTATCCATTGTAAACACATATAACTGCTCTGACCATTAAGGCTTTAGCAATGGTTGCTGCAACAGAATTGCGTGAGACCAAGGACAACCTTGCCAAGGGAGGAAAAATAAAAAACGGATTGCTTCCATGGCTGCAAACAACTGAAATTTGAGGGTAGAGAGCTACCCAAGGCAGGAAAAGGGATGCCGACATTCCTATAAGGAATTATAGAAACATCACCAACTCTTTAATAAGCATTAACAGTGATGGGAAATATGGAAGTGCTTTGGTATGGTGGGATTTAGCTCAGGTGCAGTAACATTAGGCAAAGCAGCCCAGATGTTTACAGGCAAAACAGAGGCCCTCTTTTCTATCTTAAAAAATCCAAATAACCAAGGAAAGGAAGCCAAGGTCACCACATTCAGGCCTCAGCTTCTATTTGGGGCTGCACTTGTGTTTGCTGCAAAGATGCTGTAAGATATCTGCTTGCAAAGCTCTCCCTGGCTCTATAAATGCTATATTAATAGCAGTTCAACTTAAAGAAGCCTAGTGCTACTCTTTAGTCGTGTTACCAGTGAATTTTGCTTACCCTACCAGTACTCTGCATGACGTTCTCCTACCAGACATTTTTACCATCTTTCACAGGAACTCTGTAAACAGCTTTCCTATGCCCTCTGCCGGTTTTGTAAGGCACCTCTGACAGCTCAGAGCTCAAACTTGCTTTAATGCAGGAGCAGATTTCACTTCATTTTTGCTTTGCATGCAAAGACAACGTAGCTTGTGCGTAAGACCCTCTCATAGTAGTCTTTCCAGAAAAGATACAAGCAGTTCCCAGAGCCAGAAGCTGGAGCCCGACATGGAGGCCAGGACTATCCTTGGTGCTAGAAATCCATACCAGAATTCAGAAGTTCAGGTATACACACACCCCAGGGCTAAGTCATGAGAGCAAAAGGAGCTGATGTCTTAGCATTCCTGTTGCTTGAGTCACACACCTGAGACTAGGGCTCCATCTGCTACATTTGAAGATAAAGCCCTTAATAACAGAGTACACTTGGCTCTAGAATAAGTTCAGATGTGAGCTAGATGCAGCTATGGCCACACAGGGGTCTTAAGTCTGTCCTGTCAGGGAAAAGGAGGGTGAGCAAGGAGTATTCATTCATCAATACAGCTTCAGGTTAAGGTTTTGGATGTAAAGACACCTTGTCTTTATAAATAATGTTTTCTTTGCTTCAGTTTTGCCGCACTCCAACCTGTAACACACGTGGCACACCTAATAAAGATGACTCTCCTCTCTTGTATGGTAAAATTCCTTTCTGAGGTGTTGAGTCACCGAGATATGACACAGCAGCTTCCTAATCACACCCTGCATTACAGTTCAAACTGTCTTCTCAGGAAAAAGAGCAGCAAAAAATTTCCAGTGTAACAGAACTTAAAAAATGAGAAAAAGAAAAAAACAAAATGCACAATATGGACAAACCCACACAACAACAATACATAGCCTGGACTTACATTTTTAAATTATCAGTTTCCTAGGAGTTTTATATAAATGAAAATCCTTTCAAATGTTACTATGACAGCAGTACTACTGCTTCTGAACTTACTTCATAGGGAGAGCTTCGTGTACTGTTCTAGAACACCAGAATCAACTCAACTCTAACTGACAAAGTTCATAAAATTGGCTCCTGCCCTCCAGTGATACTTGTGCACATGCCATTCACAGTGGGAGAAGAAAACTTACATAAAAACCCCGTCAAATAAAGCAGCTACTAGTGATCCTGAAGGGGACTAACCAGTTGCCTTCATGATGATGGAACAGGCAGTTCAACAGCAACATTCCTGTGGCACAGCCTGGTCCTGTTCAGCAAGGCCCAGCTCAGGGGCTTTCGGGGCTGACCTGCACCTTGGTGTGAAACTGCTCATCTTACACGAAGGTCACAAGAACCAGACAGTTTTGTGGAAGTTTTTAGCATCAGCAGCACCAGGGTCCCAAGCCCTGCAGTAAGGGAGTTTGCTCTCTACCTGTCTGCAGCAGATCACATACAGCTCTTCCCAGGACACGGGGCGTCCGGCGGGAAGGCACCTCCTCCTAGTTGCTGTGTTCCAGGTCCCTCCAGCAAACACATATGAAACACCAACACACGCTAGGAAAAGCAAAAGCTGACCTCAATAGTAACTTCAGAGTTTTAATCAGCAGATCTCACCCAATCATCACAAGATTAGAGTGACAAAGGCCTAAGTGTTACGGCAAACTGGAACAGGTTTTAGCGCATAAAAATTCACAAAATTCAGCATGACCTGTGTATGTTACTAGTGCAGCCCTGAGCTAGAGCATTAAGAAATCAAGGTCCGTTTCACAGGACAAAATTAATCCTGCACTTACATTTGTCAGTTTGTTTCAATTAACACTCAACCTTTTCTTAAATTTTCACTTCAACAGTACCAGCTAGAAGTCCACCATACCCAGTTAACGTGCCCGGCATCAAACACTTTCAACATATTCCCCTCAGACACCTAGATCTAGGACCTTCGTTTGGTCTCAATCATTTTGCAGAATTGGAAACTGAAGTTACTGAAAGACAGGGGCAGCTGTCCCAGAGACTCCTATGGCGCAGAGACGGGCAGTAAGAATATCCATGCATCCTTATGCACGGCACTGGCTACTTTGCCACCAAATTCCTCTTTTTCATTTTTAATTAATTGAATTGAATTTTTAATTGAAAAAAATGTTAAACTCAGCCAAGCATCATTTCACTGGAGGAGACAAGCTCCTTCAAGGTACCTTCTCTGGCAGGAAGGTACAGCAGCATACACACCACCATTTGTTAGGTACCCAGTGCATTTTAATACGAGGACCCACGAACCAGCAGTTATCAATGCCTCCTCTGCAAGACTGGCTGCATTTTGAGCTCTCTGGGGAGCTCAAAACCTGACTTGCATCCGGAAATGCTTCTGCTTGGTAGCGTTGTTGTTCATTCCCATCTTGAGCATCCACTTTGACTTCATCCTCTGCACATACTGCATATCACGCTGCTGAGCGGAGGCTGCCCCTTCAGGGAGAGAGAGAGAAGAATAAACATTTGTAGGATTACTACTTATCTACAGAACTATACTGTTAAATCAGCAGTTTCCAATATATTTTCCTCCCCATACTGGCCCATTCTCCCTTTTCTCTGGGGATAAAACAGCTTTCTTCATGAGTACCCACAGCTGTTGTTAGAAGTAGAAGTTTATTTGCACTCCAGTGAGATTTATTTATTTCCAAAAAATGGATATAAATCACACCACTATTTCTCAGCTGAAAAATCATTCAAACAGACAAAGAATGAGTTATGCTCTATATTTAATGGCAAAAGTAGTGGTTTTGACAGGCAGAGAAAAGAGTATTACCCCAAAAACAGATCTTAGTAAGTTGTCAAATATAAATTTGGCATCCAAAGGAACGGAACGGATTGCAAAGAAGCTGAAATGGATTTTAGGCATGAACAACCTTCTGCAAGCTGAATGCTTGGGGTATCAGAAATGGAAGAGACTTAAAGGCAAGACAAACAACTTCACCAAAAACAACAACAACAAAAAAACATGAAACAAGTTGAACCTATTACTGGTTGAGTGATGCCACTCTAGAACATCCTTCTCTGTGAAAAGCGAATGTGTCCCTTACCTGTTTGGCTTGTCCAGCCCAGAGCTCTGTACTGCTGCAACACCCGGCCTACTGCTCTCCTGTTTTTTGCAACGGCCACGGTTCTTGACAAACCAAAGCGCTGCTTGTAGTACCGCATTAAGGAGCGGTGACCAACTCTCGCACCTGGCCAGAGGAGAAGACATCTTATTTGAAAAGCAAAGCAGCTTTGCAAGGCATGTGCAATGTTCTCTAGGGAAACTAGTTTTATCAAGTTAGTTACTAGTGTACAAGGTCCCTCTATGCAAAAACCTACATTACATTCTCAGTTATACTCCCTTCAAGTTGTAATACGCAAACTCCTTGCATATGCTATGTGAATCATGAATTAATGAAGACAAAATGTAGGCAAAGGAACCCCCCAGTCCCAAAGCTGCTGAAGAAGTCCAGTTTAAAAAGAAAGTTCTCAGGGATTTGAAGGGTTTGAACTATCTGCATAAGTAATTTCAGTGATAAAACAGACATGTCTACAAACTTGACATGTTAAAGTAACAGAATATAGTGGCAAAAAATAAATACAATTAGGTGTACAATTACTTTTTTGTCCCCTTGCCAAGGGAAAAACACTTTCCTGAAGTGTCTGTCATGGAGGTAACAGCTGCAGTTAAGAGAAAAATATATTTCTTAGCACAGATCCTAACCCTACCTGAAGGAAGGATCAGTTCCATGGTGTCGTCATCATATTCCAACTCTCGATCTGCTGGGAGCTCTCCAGACATCTCCACATCTTCCCCTTCCTTGTGATCAGGGTAACTGCTCCTGTGGAGAAGAAGCAGAAACAGCTTTGTGGCCGTGAGCACTGTCATGTTTCACCCACTTGGGTTTGAGAGGCCTTTCCAGTAATGCCCTCACCTGAATAGAGACTAAGAGAAGATCACCTTTCTTCTGCCTGTTTCCCTAACCCAGTGCATTTCTGTCGCTGTACATTTTAATAGCTACTTATGGTGAAAGCCATTACCCCATAACCCACCAGCTCTGCACAGCTTACCGAACAAGCACCCCTAGAAAGGTGCTCCAGAAAGATCCACACCTTTTATCACAGTAACAAAGCTATTTCTGATGAAACTGAACACAGCTTCAAGTATTAGAACAAGTTACATAAAGTTCAACAAGAGGTCTCTGAACTGTAACAGTCCTGTTAGCTGCAACTACTTAAAAAAAAAAAAAAAAAAAAAAAAGAGGGAGTTCACCAGGTGTTTTCACGTAGGACTAGTACTAGTGATCAGAGCAGAGGCAATCATGAAGTTACACTTACCTAGAAAAGCTGCAAACCAGCTAGGCAAAATAAGCACCAGAACCAGAAACAGGACATTTTAAAAGTCAGTGCAGATTTTGATTTAATGTTCATCTGTCCTCCTCTCTGCTCCACCAAAGGAAAAGTGTCCTTACCTAAAATCATAGAAGTCTGCAAACTCCAGGGCAGCATCTCCATCTGTGAAGAGTTTGCAGTGGCTTTTGTCATTCATGTGAGCCTGTACTGCTTCTGTAGAGTAGAAGGATTTCCCCTTTTCATTGCACCAGAGGCAGATTTTCCCAACACCAACTTTCTCTCCTGCGGATAAAAGAAAAAATGACACTTATATTGAACTGAATAGAGCCTCCCTAATCAGTAACTAACGTTTCTGTGATGTAGGCTTCCCCAGGCTGCAGGCAGAGACTGAAGAAAGCCATTAGCCCTTCTCCTAATGCCCTGCTATCTCTGCAGCTTGACCATATGGATTTATCAAGACCAAAGTCATTTTAAGCATTGAAAGTACAGTTTGTATGACAAGCTGTGGATTATTACATACTTTCTATGGGAAATTTCACACTTCCAAAACAAACCTTTATCTCATGCATAAGTTACATTACTGTCATTACTTGTAGAACTGAAGGAAGACCATTTTTTCCCCTAGCTTTTAGCTCTGTTCAACGATGCAAACACATGTGATGCATCAGTGGAGATGCAAAATCTTCTCCAGAGGTTTTGCCAGTCCATGCACACACTTCTGGCTATTGAGTTTTGGCCTAAATTTCATGCCAGCATTTTCCTGGCATTCAAAACAAGTGCACCTACAGAGTATGTGGTCAAATGTTTGCCCAGAAGGGACTTCTCACTCTCCCAAGAAAACCTGTGGCACTGACAACAACCTAAGCGCTGAACTAGATGGCCCTCAGGTCTTACACTAGAAGTGAATACACTAAGTCATACTCAAGTGACAATAAGCAATACCTGCTATTTAATCAGGGTATATAATTACCCTGATTAAAACCAGGGGGATTTTAAGACATACCTAAGTACTTAATTAGGCCTCTGAGATCAACAAGATACTCGATGTCTGGAATGAAGAAACTGTGGGTTTTTGTCATGTGGGCTACATTCTTCATGAGAGATCTTGAATGGTGGGGACAGAACAAGCAGTCCGTGACAGGAATGGCCCCCGCAGCAGGAGAGCTCCCAGCTGCTGCCTGCTCCTCCTCCTCCTCTTCTCCCACACTTTCCATCTCTTCCTCAGAGCCACTGTCTTCATCGGAGTCTATATCTTCCCAGCCTTTTAACAGAAGTTCAAGATGTTTATTTACGTGATTAATTTTTCTAAACAGAACATGCCCCAGCTAAACAAATAAAAACACCAGCATGCAACACTTGTTAAAATACACAGCAAAGCTCACTGCTGCTCACTAACAAGCTGGCAGATCCGATGTTTTTCCTTCATTTTCCCAACTATGAACAGTTGGCTCATAGTTGAGAAAAGGCTTTGATTTGTCATAGCACAAGAGCCCATGTGATAATTGTAAATACTTGAAAGATTACTGCAGTGCTGAGCACCAAGTATATGCAACAGGATTCTCTGCAGGTCCCGACAATAGACTTTAGACAGGGCTCCACCTTCACAGAAAAATGCTATTTTCTCCTGTCCCCACTTTGGCCTTCTGTAAGAGCACAAAACCACTGCCACCTACGACAGATACCTAAAGTTCAGAGCAGCAGATTATGTTTCATCTGCGTCCTTAGTAAACTGAAAGTGCCTTTAGCAGCTAACTACCTATTAGAAAAATGGGCAGTCAAACAAGGAACCTGATAGCACTGCTATAAAGCCCTGCAAATCTTCTAAGGTGAGCAGATCTGGGGAAGTGACTGCTTCCAGTATCCTATTTCAGTGAGTCCCCTTCCAACTGTCACACACACACAGTGTTTGAGAATGGGGAACAAGGCACTTTCCAGTGATGTAGGCTGCTAACTGGAGAACTTTGTTACAGAATATAGCTTTAGAGATTTAAAAGTCTGGAACAGAATTAACAGGACTTGTAAGAAACATTCTGGGCAAAGACTTAAAAGGTAAATTAACATTCAGGAACCTACTGAGATTTAGAATTAGAGCTTATGACTAATACAGCAACACAAAACAGGTGCATGTCGGCTCCTTCTTTACTACACAGGCAAAGCTAAAGCAACAGCGTTTGTGGTGGGAATTCATAAAGCAGTTTTACTTTAGATGCCAACAGGCTGAAGAGCTGTACTACAGTGTTGAGGTAAGGATCGAACTTCCTCTGCTCCTTATGGGCAAAGGGAACAGAAGAAAAATAAACAAAAAAACCCCACTCCCACCTCCAGATCAGTGTAATGATGGGATTTTTTTTTACTTCATCTGCTTTTCCTAAGTAGTTTTAGGGCAATCTTCTATGTAAAATTTTGCCCTAAACTTTACAGGGGAAGCACTGCTTGTATTAATAATAGTGTTCATAACCAACATTCACAAGCACCAGTATTTTACAGAACTGTCTGTAACAACACTTTAAGACCTGGGCTGCAAGCAGGGGCCTACACTAAGGCCTTTTTAAGCTAAAACTTAACCAATATCAAAGGGTTTTACAGCAAAAAATGGTGTACTAACAGAGTGACAACATGCTGGTCTGCACTGAGCAATGCAGTAATCTTTCAAGGAGACAAAGATACACCAATACACTAACAAAAGTTTTTACACAAAATTAACGACTACATAGCCTAACCTCTCTGCTGTCAGCATGTTTTCTGCCTCACCTTCTTCCATATCCTCCTCCTCTTCCTCTGCTTGCTGTTTGGCCAGCTTCTTCGCTTGCTGCTCAAACCACTGTAGCCTCGGAGGTTTTTCAGATCGCTCCCTACTCTGTGATAAACTGGTGCTTTCCGTGGAAACCGGAGAGCTGCTTGCATCACTGGGACGTAAAGGGAGCTTCTTTGGAGAGGAAGATGGCTGAGCTTTGATGGCCTGTTGAATAGCTGTGTTCATTGCATCCTTATCTACACTCTCCGAGGCCAGCCCCTTCTCCAGGTTCTTTTCATTCAGTATTTTCACCTTCTTGCTGACAGCTTGAACAGCCTTTTTCTCCAGCTCCAGGTGCTTCTTGGACTTCAGGTGATTCTCATAGGCATTGAAAGTGGAGAATCTCTTGCTGCAGACGGTGCAGTAAGTGGCAGTGATTTTGTTCTGCTCCTCTGCTACGGCCCTCTGCGCTAGGACCCTCTCCTGGAAATTCTCCGCTGTGACGGGGGGCATTTCGGCGACCTTGCGCTTCAGGTTGTACCTGTGCCAGTCCGTCTTGTAGTGGGCACGCTGCACGTCGGCGTCCTTGAACGCCACGCGGCAGGTGATGCACGTGTAGGTTGCCATTGCTGCAAAGAGGGCGCAAGAGAAAGAAGGGAAAAACTGTAATAATCGTGCTAATAAAGACAAATAACCCTGGGGAAGAGCAGGTCAGAACAACATCAGCAAGGAGCTTAAGGGAGAGGTTCTGGCACAGGTTTGTGCACTAAATACATACAAGAATGAGCAGGAAAACGGAAGGCTCAGTTATTGCTATGAGACATTACTCACTCTGAGCAACCCCGTGGTGACCCAGCACCCACTGGGCTTGTCAGCTGCCAGGCACAGGATGAGAAAATGGTTCCTGGTCCAAAGGACAGCACGCAGAAAGCTCTGAACTCTTCATCAAGCATCACACACTGAGGATTTCCACAAAGCCTGCATTACCCTAACTATAGGCTTTTCGAGAGAGCAACGGTTACATCAACATCAGAGTAAATGGGGGTGAAAAAAAAAAATCACACCCGTTTTGGAAGCAGCGTCTTGTGTGTTCAACACCACCTTTTACCCCTCAGCATTGCTAGCTAGGGTTAGTGAGGCACTCGCTCACAGACTGGTTGAGGTTGGAAGGCACCTCTAGAGATCATCTAGTGCAACCCCCCTGCTCCAGCAGGGACACCTAGAGCACATGGCACAGGGTGGCATCCAGGTGGGTTTGGAAGATCTCCAGAGAAGGAGACTCCAGAGCCTCTCTGGGCAGCCTGTTCCAGGGCTCTGTCACCCTCACAGTAAAGATGTTCCTCTTCACATGGAAGTGGAACTTCCTGTGTTTCAATTTGTACCCACTACCCCATGTCTTGTCACTGGCCACCGCCGAGAAGAGTTTGGCCCCATCCTCCCTACGTTCAGGTAATTTGTATATGTTGATCAGATCCCCTCTCCATCTTCTCTTCTCCAGGCTAAACAGGCCCAGCTCGCTCAGTCTGCCTCTGGCATCTACAGCAAATGGCCATCCCACCCTGCTGCATTACCAGGACAACCACAAAACACAGGCAGAGACAGACACAACAGAACGAGTCATTGGGTACTTTCCCAACCGCCAGTTCCCTGAAAGAAGGGAGCTCCTGCTTTATTCCCTCTCCTATCTGCACATATAGAATGACATAGAATGCACTAGCAAAATGTAAAAGACACGGCACCTTATTTGAAGCACAAAATGAATCCATTATTTTGAATAGAATTTAATAACTAAAGGGGGACAAAAAGGTATTTGTTGTCAACTCACAAATTCCTAGTGTTTTCTAAAGTATTTCCCTCCCACCGACACATTTCCCTATTCAGGCACAAGGGAGTATTTACTGCTACAAATCAACTGATGCAGAACCATGACTGCAGTCAGCATCACGAACTCCTTTCAGAAACCCCTATATTTGGTCTATTCCAATATATTTGGACAGCAGCTACACAGTTCACAGAACAGCTTTGGAGTGAGCCTGAAAATCCTTTGTCAGATTAAAAGAATAAGCACATAACATTGAAAAAAGAATCTAGAAGCACCAGACCTCTACAACTGAGCAGCAAGCAGGGAAACAGCGTTTACAATTCACACTACATAGAGCAGAAGGGAGCAACTGCATCACGTGCTGTTATGCCAGTGCTTCCATTATCCACTTTTCTTTCTGCCCACCGTTTTTCAGCCCCAAAGGAGCCCACGGCACAGCCAGGAGCTCCTGACGTTAGCGAGAAGCAGCAACCCACCCCTCCTCCCCATTAAAATTACTAAAATTACTAAAAATTAAATAAAAATAAGAGAGCCCGCGCGGAAGCGGCGGGGTGCGGCCCGCTGCTGGCAGGGCCCAGCGCCCCCCGGCGCCCTCCCCTGTGCCCGGGCCCCGCGCGGGACACGCACCTGCGGACGCGCGGAGCAGCAGCGATCCCGCAACAGCAGGGAGCCAGCAGCGCCCGACGCCAGCGTTTTCCTGGGATTTTCTTTCCTGTGGAGCGGGGCAAGCCGAGCTCCGCGTCTGAAAACGACTTCAAAATCATCAGTCCGCGGCTCAGAGCTAGGATTAATGTTTATTCAGTACGACCCGACACACTATTAAACAATGGTTCACATCAGATTAAGAAAAGGAATAAACGAAATGAGTGGCAAAAACCGATTTTTTTTCTTTGCCTTTTTTTCTTCCTCCGATTTCAAGAACAAATATACAATTAGATATAATGAAAGATAAAAACTAACATATTTATTAAATGGTTTTACAAACAATCATCATAATAATTGCATGTTTATAAAACAGTAATCAGGTTAGGTAAAGTGCTGCAAAGTATTTTAAATAAAGACATTTTGTAGTTTTCCAGTTTCCGGTTACCTGCATAGATGTTACCTGCAGATTGTTACATTGGTTTTACAAACAGACCACAGTGAATTTGTTCTGAATGGTTAGATAAACAGTCTGGGAAAAGTGCAAAACGACCAAAAAGCAAATAAAACTCTTTTAATATCTTGATATACTATTACTTTGGGTTAAAAAAAATCCCCCTCCCCTTTCATGGTGCTGAATAACTTTGTTCTAGAACAAACCAAAGGATTTTAAGTTAAGTGCATATAGAGCACACACATACGAAAAAGTTCTCTGTGTTTAAAGTAGGTGCTTTTATTCTGGATTTAACACAACTGACGCCACCAAGTGAACAACCATTACTCAGCCTATAGGTGTAATCATGCACAGGGAAGTTTTTTTGAGTCCGAAGGGTCATAGATCCTGTCCTAATGTAGATGTAAATGTAGGTTTTTTGCATACTGGATACATGAAGAAGCCATGTAAAGCAAGGGAGGGTGAATGTTAAGCACACTATTGGAAAAAAAACTACTACATATATGGTATATATATATGGTATATGGTATCTTCAATTTACCACAAGAGCAGAGCAGGCATGTATGCAGGTACGGCACCCTACCCATCCCAGTGCAAGATCCTATCCCACATCACCTCATGGTAATGCGCTCGCGTACCCTTTTTTCTTCCATATGCACCTTTTTGCTGAATGGTCTGGTTTTCACCCAGGATTGTATCAAAGCAAGCTGGCCACGTAACAATTGCACATTTTAAAACTATGTACCTCATACTTGCTTGCCTTTTTCCCTACCCTTTTATTTAGTTTTGGGAGATGGGAACGTTACAAGACTCCTTTGTGGGAAGGAAGCTGTGGACCATCGGTGGATTAAGGAACAGGAATATTTCAGCAACTGCTATTTTGTGGCTGCTGTTAGAATACAGCAAAATTAAGGTTCCTCAAGTCATTTCCAAACAGACACAGTGTCAAAGGGCTCTTATAAAGGAAAGAAACCTTTTCTTTGCTTTAAACTATGGAACTATCAGTAGTGGAATGTATTATATCTGAGCAAAGTGTTTCTATGTGCAGTTGTTTGAGAGGAAAGAGGTAATCTCAGTAGGCATTATTGGCAGAAAATTAAGCATCTTTCTGCTATTTTAAGAGGTATATTAAATGTTAGGAAATTACCTCCTTCCTATTACACAGTATATGGGGGCTTGAATAAAAAATACTATATAACGACTACCATGAAAACAGGAAAAGAAAATTCTGAAGGACATTCCAATAAGAAGTTATGCCCCTAAACTTTGATGATTTGCTTCTTAAAGTTTTGCTTAGTTTTACTTTCTGTAATGATTTCAGAGTCATCCTGGAGGAAAAAAAAAATCTATGTTGAAACCAGAAAATGGATCATTTACAAAAAGTCTGAGAAACTCACCCAACTACTTTTCCTTCTTGATGGAAATTATTATTCTAGAAGAGTGCCCCTGCACTATATCCTTTTATAATCACAAGTAGTCTTTGTAAAACAACACTAAAGTGCATGCTGTCCTAACGCCACTATTGACAGCAAGGCAGTAAGCCTCATCGATCCACTTAATAAACACCTTTTTAAGGATTGCTCCCTCCACGATTTCTTCCTGTCTTGCAGTCTACTTAACCTTCTCATACCAGTATGCTTGTACAGCAAACACACTCGGTTTAGGTATTCTATGAAGTTTCATCAACAACTTATACTTTTCTAAGTGTACAGATTGCTTGAAATGCACAGCAAGGAAATGCTGTTTTTAACTCATCCAAACAATGTAAATGGCATTACACTCACTGATTTCCCAGCAAACCTGCTTTTATTTAATTCTTCAAATGGGAAGGACAGACAGGGGAAAGGAAACTTAATAACTAACACTGCAGAAGTGATGTGGCCATATTTTTTAATCACTTCCAGATACTTGCATTTCATGTTATGATGATATAATTTCAAAAGCTGCATCTTGTGGGCTCTGGATCCAGCTTACACTTACTTCATAATAGAGTTGATAATGAAGGCACAGGCTCACTTTTGTACTGATGAAGGACAGCAAACACAGTCAATATGCACTACTGACACAAAAGCACAAGCAACAATAAAGCTAGTGTCAAAAAACTCAGGATTTTTTTCCTTTAGCCACAATATTTTTGGCCATCTGCCTACTTTTTCACCTCAGAAAGCAAAACGAATTTAAATGGACTCAACTTCAAACACAGGTTTACCTATACATATGTTAGTGGAAGATTTATATAAACTGGACTGTACTTTCTGAGGGTCCTAGATGACATTAGTCACCTCTTAAAATGCCAGCAAATGGAAAATCATTTCAGTAGTATTAGCAGCTGACATGGTCCCTCAACTCTGCTAACAGTTTACATCACATTAATAAAACTAATTTTACTTCTTCCTATTTCTTTGATTACTATTGCTTGGTATTACATTTCAGTTTTGTTACAGGTGAACAAAAAACACTAGAAAAAGTTAAATAAAATATTTGCTTAAGATCCCATGCCAGTCACTGAGCATGTGTGGAGTTTAAAATGGCAAATAACTTAAATTCTGGCTTTGTTGCTTTAAAGTACACACCAAGAGGAAGATTCTGAGTTTCTTCTACAGCAAATGATCTCACTGGATACTTCAAGTACCTTTAAAAAATACAGCTTGCAAGACAGCTTTAGTTGCAGTGATGGTAGCTGTCTTAGAAAGAAAAAAAAATACTCACAAAATCTTGAATAAGGAAGTGGCAGCTAAAAAAGCCTTCTGTTTTACCTTTAACTTTCATAGCTTCCTTATTCCAAACAAGAAGTTGTCCCACCTGCACCCTCCTCCCAAATGTTGTTCAGTTGACAGAATGTCAACAGTATTCAATGTGAAAATGTACTGGCTGACTTCACATGTGCAATACTGCCAGTGATCACCCTACCAGGGAACACAGCAGGTGGTCAGTCAAATGGCATGCCACTTAGTAGCACTACAAGCCTAAAAAAAGAAAGAAAAAAAAGCTGGAAATGGAAATCATCATATCCAAGAAAAAAAGAGTTTTTAAGTATAAAATTAAGTTTTTTGATAGCATTGCACACATCTTTAACTGATAGTTCTGCTGGTTAATGTGTTTCATGAATATTAGATATACCATATATAATGATAACTGCAGGGGTTCAGACTTTTCTGTAAGATTGAAGGAAGTAAAATTTAGTTACTCTCATTGCAATCCTCTCATAACTTGCCCTTAGTGTGTGAATCATTAATTGTATTATATGGTTGACAACCAAGAATTACAAAAACTGCAAATGCTGAAAATTTGGCATAGGACCCAAAATTGCATATTTGGCAAAAAGATAAAAAGTTCCCCCAAATTCTTTTGAACAGCTGACCTCCAACACTCAACTGCAGTGGATAGATAATTCATTTCCATGCTATTACACTGAGGCATAAACTACCAAAAACATTACGCTATCAGCTGATACTTATCCAGTTAATTCACTCAGTATAAGGGAATTAAACACACCTAAAGTGACAGTTAAAGCTTACAGCTCAGAATTTTCCTTTTTTTTTTGCATTTGATTTTTGTGTGTTTTATGTTTCATTTTTTCTATGCTACTAGCTCCAATTTCCAGGTTAATGACTTCCAAGCAGATTTGAAAGGAAGCCTGAAGATTTCTTCTTCTCCTGGGATTCTGCTTCTTGGCCTTGTGAAAGTCCCAATTCTTTCTCAATCTGCTCAAGCTCCGACTGGTCAAGCAGTTCAAAATCATCACCTTCTTCTGTGTCTGTCTCCTCACTCAAACTGGGTGCTGCGTGCGAGGCTGCTTGCTGTGCAGACTGCAACTGGTCTTTGATGGCAGCAGACACTGCAGCTGCAATGACATCCCCAGCAATTCCGCTCACTAAGTTAAAGGTTTGGTCACTGGTCAAAGGCAAGGAGAGCCCTGCAGTGGATGGTCTCTCTTTCCCCTGCCTGGAAGAGTGATCGATCTTCAAACACGTTTGTTCTTTTTTCCTTTTTTGCTGGATGGGCATACCAATGCTTGAGTCGTCATCATCATTTGTTCCTGCACCATTTTCTAAAGAAGGAAATTCTGCAAGATCTCTAGCGAAAGCTTCTTCATGATCACTAGGTCGGTCAAAATCTATTATCAGATTAGTAGAAAGAAACACAATTAACAAACAGGATAAGACTTTCAAAGAACAGCCAAATGTAAAAATGCTGTTAGAAAGATTCCCTTCAAGTGTATTTACTAATCCATAGCCTATTGATTTAATGCGGAAGAGCCTTATGTAATATCTTGAATAAAATGGTTTTGAGGTCATAAACCTAGTACTTCAAATTGTCTGGAACCAACTAGACTCAGAATTTGAATTCATGTTGCCTGAACCAATCACCAGTCCCACTAAAAATGTCAGACTAAATGTAAAAAGAAGGAGACAAAGAAAAACTCCAAACAGAATTTACTTTTCGTCGAATTAGTCTATTTCAGTCAACCCATAGCGCTGAAGTTTTCTACTTAGATAATTTTTCAGTATTTTAGGTACAGGTTGGGCAACTACTTGGAGATACATTTTTTCACTAATATTCCAGGAAAAAAAATTTAAAAAGGCAAATGGGAAGTATTTTTTAAAAGGCAAATGTTTAGCACAGCATCAACCACACAAAGTCCTAAAATATATAATGTAACAATGTCTTTCAATTCCTGTTCTTAAATTCCTAATCCTATATTCCAGAATATTTATGAATTATAAATATGTAAGCGTATGTGAATACAAGCATTTAATACATACGTAGGATAAAGAATGATGGTTTAAATGATTTAATAAAATCCGAAAAAGAGTAAAGACTTAACTTTTTCTTTTTTTTTTTGCTTTCAAATCCAATACTTGTAATAAATGGCAAAAGAGAAAATGGAAACACTACAGATGACCAGTATAGTTTCAAATTTTCCACAGAATAAAAAGCAAACTGTAAACATAAAATGGTAAAAGTAGATGATTTTATTTCAAGAGATGTATTAATGGCACCATATTTATTATCAGAAATGTGTAAAACATGTATTGACATACATGGCCTATGGAACAGGCCTAAAGCAGCATAATAAGTGAATACTTTTTTTCTAGTAGGCAGTATTTGATTGAGAAAGCTAAAAAAATAATTGCTTTGAACTTACTTTCTATGAAAATGAGCAATAGAAGCTTTCATATGGGCTAAGGAAATGAATCTTAAAAGTATATCTGATATGTCATCTTCTCCTTCGTCTTTAGGAAAGACAGGATGAAAAGGCAAGGAGGGAGGGTTGTGTTGTGTGCAAAGTGGTAGCTCAAGGACACAGAGCCTTCCTCAAGGACGAGCCAGTTCGACTCTCTGGGTAAGTACCAGAGGACAGACCAAGACATCATGGTAGGCATCTGTTTGATCATGAGGAGCAAAAAGGGCGAAGCCTTCTTGAGGCCCTGGGAAGAAACCTCCAGGCCACCACAGGGGATTCTCACCAACCCTATGTATGCTAGAAGGACAACACAGCTGGTACAAGAAATCCAGGTTTCTTTAGTGTGCTGAAAACAGTTACTTCACAAGCTGACCCAGGAAGGCACTCTGCTGGGATTGTTACTCAACAAGGAAGATGGCTGTAGACCACAAGACTGTAGAGTTTAAAATCATATAGGAGTGGGCATGAGAGGAGTAGCAAAATCATCATTCTGGATTTCAAGAGTGATTTCAGTCTGTCCACAAATCTGCTTGACAGGTTCCTACAGGAGACAGCCCTGGAGTGCAAAGGAGAGCTGGCTGATTTTCAAAGACTGCCTCCTCAAAGCATAAGAAGAGGCCATCCCTGCAGAAGGTTGAGTAGTCCAGCACTGATGAGGCAGGAACTTCTGACTGAGCTTGGACACCAAAAGAAAGTACACAGAAGGAGCAAGCATGGATAGCCTGTACCTGGGAGGAACACAAAGACATTGCCAGTGCAGGAAGCAGCAGTGGTAGGGAAGCCAAAGCTCAGCTTCACATTGGTGAAGCAAACTGGTACGTGCAGGGTTATATTTGATGGGCTGGGTGGCACATCATAATAGGGACCTGAAGGGCTGAAGAAAACAGGGAAGAAGGAACATCTTGACACAAATGTGAAGTCCCATATGTAGGATGGAATTAACTTCATGTAACAGTACAAGCTGAGGGCCAGCTAGACGGAAAGTAGCTTTGAAGGAAAAGATCCTTGAGGACAGCAAGTCAGCACACATACTCTTACAGCAAGGGTAACAACCATATGCTGAGCTTATTAGCAAAAGTTAAGTCAGTAAGCCAATAAAAGTGCTTGTTCTCCTATATTCAGAACTCAAGAGAGCACATTTGGAGTACTTTTTGGAGGCTGCATTGGAGGTCCACTTTGACCTCTCCAGTACGAGTGAAACTAATTTCCCGGTGGGCCAGCGTGATGAGCAAGGAGCTAGAGCACATGACATATGAGGAGATGGTGAGAAAAGGGAGTTTGCTCAGGCTTAAGAAGGCAAAGGGAAAAGTATAGAGAAGACGAGGTATGAGAGGATGAAGCCTAATTCTTCTCTGAGGTGCACAATGGAAGGATGAGGGTAAATCATCATAAGCTAGAACATGGGAAATTTCAACTCAATTTAAGGAAAAAGTTCTTCCCTGTGAGGGTGTTCATCACTTGATATACTCAAAATTAATCCGGACGCAGCCCTGAGCAAACTGATCTAGTTGAACCTGCTTTGAATAGGAGGTTGGAGTAGGCAAACTCCAAAGGCCCATTCTGACCTATGATTCTGTGGTTGTATGATGCTCTCTGATCACAACTTTAAATGCTAAAGAGCAATTAAAAATAATTAGGCATTTATAATGTCGATATAATATCTCTCTATTTGTAAGAGGAGAAATGTAAGATGAGCAGAGCGACAAACCCCTCCACCTGATTTCACCAAACTACTGTTGCTTCTAATCTTTGTTAAGGCAAAGAACTAGGAGGAAGGTGGCTCTAAAAAGTAATAACTTACAGATCTGGTCTTGTAAGATAAATACTTGGGGATCTCTTCTTTAAATTAGTCTTCTCAGCTTGTTTGGGCTCATTACAGTACACTGCCTTCACCAGCATTCTGGTATCCAGAGCTTAAATATACTTTCTTTAATTGACTGCTGCTCAACTTGAGGTATCCACTTATTAAATATCACCTTTATTTTTCTTTTCACATAGTTCAGATTATCCCAGAGTATTACTACCAATTTAAATGATTTGGTGGAACATAGTAATAAATCTGGCATGCATTTAATGTTCTTGTTTTACCCACAGCTACTTGTTTATTTAGATTTTCCCTGATGCACTTCATTATTTTTAGGAAAAAGATAGCTCTTTCACAAGATAATAAGATTAAAAATATAGAATAAAATAATAATAATAAAAAAGAACTACTGGAATGAATTTTAAATTTACTATTAAAAAAAAAATCTCAAATTCCTTAATAGCTTCCAGATAACGTATAAACTTACAAGTCTGCAATTAATTGATGAAATAACTAAAGCCATTACATACCTTCAGATGTGTCTGTCTGTGGAGAATACCCCTCAGATAAGTTAAAGGTCCCATTATCGGTCCAAGATACTTCTGATACATCCGTGTCAGATACTGATAGCTCTTTGGCAACAACTGCAGGACTAACCTAGACATAAAAGAGCCCCATACATGGCATTCTTACACTCAAAAAAGTCTCGCTGCAAGAAGCCAATGTTCAGATATTGAAATAAATGTACTTTGTATGTGATAGCAAAATAATTTGTCCACTATTTAAATTTTAGTTGTACAAACATGGACATAATAGGAGCATGAATACTTAAGAGGATACCTTCTTCTTGATGATTCAGAACTCTAGTATACTAAAGAAGGACACATAATTCTAGCTTTTAAATTTTATATTTAAAACTCAAAAAATATATGCATACTTTAAAATATAATATTTATTCTTAACATAAATCCTTACTGTAATGAAAGCAGACTGATCCTGCAAATATAAAATGTGTGTATAAAGTATATGTAAAGAAGTGCATAAACTAGGATCAAAACAAAAACATCAGACAATCAGAATTTAGCTAATTCAAAAAATCACCATCTTCTATTGGTTTATCAAACAGTATTCAATGTAGTATGTAAACTACAAATTTTTATCCAATGGGAGATATATTTTTTCAGAATATAAAAACATCTTTAAGGTGATCAATTTCAAAGTCAGATTCTAGATACTGCTGATCTAATACTGCATCAGAATTCCCATAAATCTGATTTTTTAAAATATCAAATAATCAGTATTCTAATGGAAAATCCTTCAACACACAATTATTAAGAATATTAACAGAGAAATGAAGTATTATAGTGTTCTCATACATAATCTAGAGAGACATTTGTAGGTATTATCAGATGAGTGATTATGCACGTCTCTGACAAACTGCAGGTTATCTATGAATGTTTCCATTTTGTACACTGATATGACAGTAACTAGCTGCAGTTCCACTGCGGTAATTAAAAAGGGTGCATTTGCTATGAAACTCTTGTTTAATTGTTCTGTAGCAAATACAAAACAAACACATTTCTGTTTAGTAGCCCACAGAAACCATTCTGACCTCTGAAGGTCAGAAGTCACAATATAAGTGCAGTAAGTTAATTAGTATAGGTCTAAAGATGGATATTGTGAATCACTTCTAAAATAGATTGTTCAGGAATGCAGTCCTCCTCTGGGCAGGGAAAAGTCTTCAATGGAAAACAGACAGCAGTCTAGATAGTCTATATTTACTACATAGATAATAAAAACAAGACATAGCTGACTGAAAATAATCACCTTAGGACACAGAGCTGATATGTCTAATTCACTGTCATCTTCTGTGGGTTTCGTTTTTGCTGCTTCTGAAAGAAAAAAATAATTTTAGTCGTATTAGTGCACTTCCTGTTCTGGAATAGGGAAATAAAACTGCTATAAGGTAGGCGCACGTAAACAGCTGACCGAGGCTGGGTATTTATCAAAATACAAAAAAAGCATATTTACTTAAAATACCTTCCAACGCATTCATCTGCCTGTATTGTATATGCTGCTTTCAAAAAATCTCTGTTACTCACTCAGTATAATGTGATCTGAAAATATCTATCTATCCGTCTAATGACACCATCAGTACAAAGCACAGTTGCAACATACTGTTAGGTAGTATAGTCATATCCCACTACCTTACTTTTACACAAAAATGTATAATTCTCTGGAAAACAACACGCAATTTCCATCCACAAAACATTTTCTTTTTGTATTCCGTTTCCCTGCATTTATATTCAATTATGTGTAAGAAGCATCCTCTTAAGTGTGGTAGAAGGATGCTTCTAATAAACAGAAACACAATTTTTGCCTCATTTCCTCTATCTGAGAAGAATTTCATAAATATTATAAAGCAGTATAAGCCAGTTATGCTGAAAAAATAAAGTCCTACTATTCCTGGTTGCCTCTTTTTGCAACTTGTCTTTTCCTCACTTGTGCAGCAAAAGTGTTTGTGAACTCACAGGATGAAGCAGAGCGAGCGGGGAACTTATATATCAAGAAAAAAATTTTTGAAACAGATTTATTATTTAAAATCTAAAGGACTCTGATTTTATAAAAATTTCAGATGAGATAGGTAAGACTTTGTTTCCTGTTGATTTCTCCTCTAAGTGAAAAATTTGATTAATTTACAGCTATTACCATATTATGGTTCTTAACAGCTTACTGAGTGTTTGGGGAAGACAACAGCATTTCTTTTTTTCCTGTTGCAGCTGAGAGACAAGGCAAGACAAACTTATATGCTAGAATGGAGTTCACTTTCTTCCTGCCAATTCTGTGATGTGCTAATCTTGTCTTCTTAGGGAGTTCCCTCTCCTGCATGAGTCTTCCCTATCTAAAAAACCATCAGCATTTCATGTTTTACAGCCTGTAGTTCTTCTTAATATCTTCAAGCATTATGGCAAACCAAGTATAATGAGAACAATCAGTCCTGCCTTGTTTCCTTCCATCAAATCATTCTTAACCATTCCCAGACCTCTGACATATATGATTATGCATTATATAGCCTTATTAAGCTAAGAGTTTAGTGAGATTCAAATATGTGAGTTAGAAGTAACTTTATACTTTGCTTCAGAGAACAAGCCCAACTGTCTATAGGAAGAGTAATTTTTTCTCTTCATAAACACAAATACATTATTTGGAATTGTACTTAAATTACTCACCAGACCTCTCTTTTTTCTTCTGGTTGATATATTCCACTATTCCAAAATCCAGTTTCATCAGAACAGACTTAATTTTGCTGCACACTTTCTGTCCAAATTCATTGCACTTGAAGAAGGGACATAAAAAGGCACACAATACTGTCATAAAAATGAAGATAGAAATAGAAATTGTTATTGAAATATCACTTTATAGAAAGTAATAAAGACTATAAATTTGCACAAGATAACAAAACTATTAGTTTTATGTATTTCAGTAGCATTGAAATACTTATGCCAGAAGAGCTGTTAATGTCAAGTCCAGTTTCTTGGAAGTATTCACATTTTCACAGAAAACTGCATTATATTCAGATCATTTAACACCTTTCATACTTTGTTGATCACAAAACTTGACAGTATAAATTATTTTGAAGTATTCGAGTTTAAAACTATATAATCACTTCTATGGATGCCATCTTTTCTAAATCTGTTACAACCTGCATACCTGCTAATATGCATTTCTAAACTCTGTTACATACACATCATTTGCAAGAGAGGTATCATTTTCAAAACAGGAAAAAGAAGAGGCAGCCGGAGAAGGAGAAGCACATGAGTGTTTGTACAGAATCACAGAATAGAATAGAATCATAGAACCATTTCTCCCTTGTATCATTCCTATGTTCAACCTGTTTTGGACGTTTTATTCCAAGGAATATGCTTTTTAGATGTCAAAATACAGACGTTCAACCTGTTTTGACTTCCTACAAATTATGGACATTTTATTCCAAGGAAAAACAAATCATTTGCATATGCTTTTTAGATGTCAAAATACAGAATCTTTCTCTATGACATTACTTACATATAAAATATACATTACCATATATTACAAATAATATCATATATGTGCTCTATAATCTTTTAATTGAAGTCAGTTAGTAATTTGTTAAAAATAATTAAAGTACATATTTTCAGGGTGAAGTACAGTAGTGGATATCTAGTTTTCCAAACCAATTCCATGATTTTGCTATTACAAACCACTATGTGCAAAACTTTTCATTACATTTGGGTCTGCGTGACAGCTGTACTTGCTTCATCCTTCTTCACCACATGCATTTAATTTTCTCATATCCTTTTACTCAGTGGCTGGATGTCTGTGCTATATCTGTATGGATAAAGGTTCAATTTAAGGAAACTTTTTGTTTTTAATCTACGAGAGGAAGTCTTCCACAGTTTTAGATAAATGTTGTTCATGCTGTAGGACAATTTTTTTCCACTAGTAGTACAGTCAATACATTAACAGGGCAACAGTTGTATCTGAGATCACCATTATTCCTACTTGTATCGGCTATGCTGTTGTGTGAGAAGGATTATACTACAAAAAAGGAAGGTCAATTTACTTTTCCATGGCAATGACTACACAATAATTTATTGTCCAAAGATGTTGTAGAGTCTCCTTCTCTGGAGATACTCAAAACCAGCTTGGATATGATCCTGGGCCACATGCTCTAGGTGACCCTGCAGGTGCAGGGATCATCTCTAGAGGTCCCTTCCAACCTCAGCCATTCTGTGGTTCCGTGATTCTGTTTTGACATACACATAATCAACTTGAAACATTTAATTAATCTTTTTTCTTCTTTTTCCATTCTTGTTCAGTTGTATACTGGTGTGTTCTTGGTGTAAGGAAGAGATATCACTTTTTTTTTCTTCATCATTTCATCATCCTCTTGCTTGTTTTCAATTTGAAACGTAAAATTAAATTTACACACTCATATATATGGAGGCATAACACTTATGTGCATTCAACTGAATAATTTAATAGTTGTGTGACAAAATAAAAAAAAATAGTAATAGGATCACTTCTGAAAAAAAGAGATTTCTTGTCACTAAAAAATAGTTCAGCATCTACCACCAGTGTCTGGAGACACTCATTTCCTCTGTTCTAAGATAAGAATATCTGTGACTAAAATAAAAATGACTGATAGAGTAAACAAAGTTCAGTCTGATACGCTTCTCTCGTTCTAATCTGCAGTACAGAAAACTGGTTTCTACAGTAATGGAATAATAACTTTTTATTAATTTATATAGTGTTTGAAAAAAATTGCAAGGAGTAACTTATGATCACAGTAACATTTATCTTGATTTAGTTTAACAGCTCTCCCTGAGACACGTAAAGTCACATTGCACTAGAATCAATAAGCTGAAAAGAATGCTAAACTCAATGCTATCTGACAAATGACACCTGTCAAAAATACATATATAAATAGAAAAGTAAAATATACCCCTTATAAAGAGAACAAATAATGAACAAACCACACGCATAAATCATAACTTAAAAAATGAAGAAGAGAGTATACTTACGCAGAACATAGGAGAGGACAACTCCAGGAATGTAACTTCCCAAAACAGTGAAAAATGTACATACACTGCAGACTAGTAGGCAAAACTGGCAAAAGATATTAAAACTGTCCATTAAATATTTAACATTAGCATTTCCATTGCTGTAAACATTTAATCATTTTGCAAAAAGAAATGTTCTCCAAAATGTTGCATTATAAATGGAATGCAGAAAGTGGCAGAAGAAATAAGTTTTGTAAAGTTAGAAGTACTGGAACATTTCTTGTGCAAATAAGCAAGTAATGCTTTTTGAATAATCAAAAGTACACTCCTATTATAAGAATATGTTATTTTATTCACTTCTTACAAAAATGTAACAAACTTATGGTACTACAGATTCCTTCACTTCCTTTATACAGAAAGGCTTAAGAATTACATTCAGGACACAAAGTAAATTATTAACTGAAATACTACCATGAATACTTGTTCCATATATAAAAAAAGCAAAAAGCCCTCTCTGTTGTGTTGCTTCACAGGAACTGTTTTCTCCTATACGATGCTAAGCATCTCTGGATGCTTCTTGGTCTCTCTAGCATTCCCATAATGACAGGACTCCACCAAATTTAAAATATTAAATTCGAGATTCAGCCTCTGCTGTAGTTGGAATATACCGTTTATCTTTATCAACACTGCACAACTCTGAGTATAGAATCAATTTGTTGAAAATTTCCAAAATAAGCTTTGGAGCTAAGTTGCTTAGGCAATTGGAAGAAATTTTGCATACACCATCAGTGCATATTTTGCTTGTAACTATAACAGTAAAGTAATGACCTAGCTCAGACAATAAGGGTGTACCACCAAAATCAGCTTTTCTAAATCAGGAGAACAATATGTTTTAAATATACAATTACTACATCATTTTACTATATGGCAAAAATTGGCATCTGTGCAGACTGATAATGCATCTTCTTATCATAATATGCCTATTTCTTTTAAATTCATTTTTAATTTTATTATCCTACATATATAACAATTCTTTTTAAAATAATTCATACTTATTTGAAATGTACTTTACCCTGATGCTTGTCTCTACTGTCAGCCTAAATTCATAATATTGAATACTGTACTACTACATACTTCCAATCTTTAATTCTGAAGAGCTTGTTTCCATGAAAACTTCAATGGCAAAGTCCTCTCCCCAATCCTGAGTTTTTTAATTTAGCAACACATATGTAAAAATAGATATCTCTTTTTTTCCGATATTGATCCTATAATATATTGCTATTATAGCTTGTTTCGTGATTAGTCGTTTTTATTTGAAAAAAAAGCTTCTCAGTATTTGGCTAGAATAACATAATACCTTCTTCCTACTAGGAGTAAATCCTACTCTTGCTTGAGCCCTCAATCTTTCCAGCAAAAAAAAACACTGTATCTCTACAGAAGAAAAATTACCAGAATAAAATATGAAGGATTACCCTCTATTTTATATCTTGCAGCTATTCTGAAAACTACAATTATCTGGGGGGGGGGCGGGGAGGGAAAAAACATATGCATGTTCATGTTTACCAATCTGGAATGTTTTCTGCTATAATATTTTTATTAAACTGTGATATTTTATATATCTTGTTCATTGAAATGACTGATGAAGTTCCAGCAACTTATAGGGGGAGGGACTGTACTGCTATAAACTTTATATGCACCTTTTATCACAGATGACCTATCTACATGCTGCACAATCTCACAACTGAACACGTATCTCCACTTATTTCTTTTTTCCTTTTTTTTTTTTAAATCTGCCTTACCTTTTCATTAAACAATTTTAAACTATTAATCTTACTTGTCAATGCTTACCTTGCCAGGGTTTTGTTCCTTGAAGTGTGACATTTCTTGAAGAAATACAAATAAATTCATCAGTGCTTCTGAAATGCACTGATTTATTTTGGGCCTGTAGTCATGTTTAGAATTGATGACTTTCCAGCTGAATAAAACAAACAAACAAAAAAACCCATCAACATTTGTTAGAGCCCATATGGAAGCTGGAACTGGTTGAATACACTAGAAGGCGTATCAGCTGTTACCTCCTGTTGGTATTTTTGCTAAGATTATTGATCTTTAACATTGTATTTAATATTGTATTTCAATAAAATTAATTATTAGAGATAAATCATATCATTAACCTATACCCTCAAATTATCCAATGGCTGCTGCTTTGCTACAGACATCTGTGCTCATCTCTATATATTTTAGATGAGGCTATTTAGATCTTCTATAATAAGAAGGCACTTTCATACTCCGGCATTATATTGTATGCGAATCACCAAATTTCAGAAGATTATTCCTTGGAATTAGAGCGGTAGAAGCACAACAAACTAGTCCCAACTTAAGGGACTACTTTAATTCAGTAATTAAAAAGAAAATAACAACAAGAAAAAACCCACCACATAAGGAACCTTGAATCTGTGCAGTTGTAACCTGAATTAAGCAACAGAACCTCCAAACTTGTTTCTTTATATTAATTTTTCTATAAAAATATATCACAGTGCTTTTCATAGCACCAGGATGGCAATACATATTAATACATTTAATTTCAAGCATACAATCTTTGTGCTTTTTCCTTTTTAATCTTTGCAAACTGTGGTAATCCTTAAGAGATTATTATCCAGGTTACAAAAGAAAAAAAAAAAAAGTCTTCCATAGTCTTAACATACATTTCCGTGCTGATTTTTTACTTTTTTATTACATTGAAGTGACTGGTTCTAAGGTTAAATTATGGCTGTTCAGTCCTTTTAAGAAAATAAAATATATACATACCAAAGAATTTGCTGAAAAACAGAGGAAGAATATGCATCTAATTTTGGGCTAAGTTTTGATAATACCTACTTGAAAGGATCACATCTTACAGCTTTCTGGACAAGCAGATAAAACATCTGAAGCAAACATGTTTTACGAAACAAAATGAAAGGCAAAACACGGCACCAGCACAAAGTATGGGAACACTCCTGTGCCAGCCTCCAAGGTCCAAAATAGAAGTTGCAACAGTTTTATGAAATCAGCTTTTGCATAAGTGCCTGTTCAGTACACACGTTTTTGATGAGACTGAACACCCAGTACCTCATGAAACATCCCACGGTCATTCTACTCTGATAGAGAATCTATTAAGTGCCCGATGCATCACTTTGCATCCACAGTACATTGTCATCACAGACGGATCCAACTACAGGATGAACCTCAAACTGTATTACAAACTCTCCAAAGTACGAAGGTTGGGGGGCCCTGACAAGAAAATAAAGAGGGATTATCAGATCAAAATGCCTAACCCTATTTCCAAATAATTATTTGCCTTCTGAGCTGCTACAGCCACAGGAAGGTCCAGGCAGCAGCTCTCACTCTTATTCCGGGTACAGATACTTTGGATAGCTCCCCGGATAGCCTAATTTTTAGCAGGGATCAGTGCGCGACTAATGGGCGTCTCGTTACACTTTACCCTGAGTAAATTTGGTTCTCTGAAGCAACATTTAAACATTTGCTCTCAAAATTGCTTTATATCAAACAACATTTTACATTATTTGATGTTTGGTAAGAGGCTAGAACATTTTAAAATCTTTTAAAATCTTAAAACCTGCATGTTAATGTTCTTCTTCTTCATCACCAGATTGCTTAGTCATGTTTATTGGCACATAAGGTAGCAGGAAGAAGCTCTCGCGCGCATTGGGACTTTACTTGGCTGAATGCTGGCTAGCAGGTGGCTTCCACCCACCCGCTCTATACAACACATGCAAACTTCTGCTGTATTGTTCTTTTACTAGCAGTTACAACTAGTTTCGTTCTTTCTTACCAATCAGATGCCATTTTATTTCCTCATATGAGCTCATAAATGCCTCTGCTATCCTAATCTAGGGAAAGCCATGGAAATGGCCAAGTTTTTGAGAGCCAAGTTTTGTGTTTTTGCAAGGCACTGTCTGTGCACCTGCCCAACAGCAGTGCTGCCCACGGACTGTTGATCCCCCCCAGCTCATGTGTTACATTGGAGTTTTGTTTCTATAAATGACAGACTCATGGTGCATAGCTCATTTCAGACTACTGCTTTTTAAATTTGCTAAACACCTAACATTTTTTCAAAATGTATGTAGATTACCTATATAGCAAATTAAACTTTATCAAAATAGGTTTGTTTTCTTCTCGTAATACTTCATAGTACCCTAAGAACTAGCTCACAAACTTGCAGAAATCCACAAACCAAAAGTTATAAAATGTTGCTTAAAGATTTTTTGCTCTCTTACGTTGTTTTTACTTCCTTGGGGTCTAAGAAACAAAAGTGTACAGCAGTGTTTTAATATGGGCAGGAGCTTATAAAGTATTTCCACTAAGAACTTAAATGCACATCTTTCCAGCAGGAAGAATAAATTTATAGCCCAAAGAGATAACATCTTAAGGCAAATGGATTTGGATTCTAGGAACGATTTACTTGAAATGTACATGCATAATTTTACTGGACTACATGAGACCTATAGCTTGCTTTCTAAAATATAGACCTCTGACATGCTCCTTCAAGCATGGCTGAGGTTATATAGAGACACTGCATTCAAAGGGAAGTGGTCTTTTACCAGTGGTGTTTTATCACACAACTTTGGCAGCACACAAATACACTAGCCAAGTAGTGAAGAGAAAGTTATTAAAAGGGTCCAATGACATAAAAAATGCCCTTAGAAAAGGCAGAGGTTTTGATCATTAAATCATGATAGCAAGTAAAATAATGTAATCTGAGAAAAAACATAGTTTATCACATCACAACATCAAACCAAAAGAAGGGCTTTGAATTAAGTAATTCAGATTTCTCATCACAGATCAATAACAAAACTAGGCAAATGGTGACTAATTATACACCATAATATAAACTTTAAGCATGATGTATAGGTATATGGTACATACCATATATATTATGTCTGATATCACACTTCAGTCTCCAACTAAAAGAACACTGTGCTTTCAGTTGTATAATCAAAAGATACATTCCTTCTTTTTTACAAACTGTGAGAAAAATAAAAGGATAGCAGGAATTTCAAGCCCAGTGACTCAGCAGCATGAACACTGCACTTGTACTTAATTCTCCTTGAAATCTTGGACTACACATTTCAGCCGAAGGCAGGACAACATGCCTGACATCCTATTCAGCAGCATTATCTGTGCCTGAAGCCACCTTTCCCTGTATTACAAATTGCTCTCATTTCTCCCAAGGACACAGGATACAAGGGCCGTGGGCTGATTTTGAACCGTACTCTGAACCGTACGCTCTAACTTCAGCACGCAGTTACATCTGTGAATTTCTGCACACTTAAAAATGGGCCCAGGGACAATTTGGGATTCTTGTCCCACCTGCCAATATCCATTTTGCTTTACAGGCGGGCACATTAGCTATCTTACTTTTCGTTGCACAGCAGGCATTGATCACTTGGAACCATTTCTGCTCGCGTATTTCTAACCGAAAGGAGCCGGAGATCAGGAGCAGTGCCGAACCACTCCCACCTCCTGCACAAGGGCAGCGCGGAGCACAGCGACCCGAAGCACCAGAACCGCCGGAAGCCCATTGGAGCTTGAAACCGAAACGGCTGCTTTGTTCCTGGCAGTGTTAAAAGACGTCTGGTTTCTTTTTTTCCTCTTGCTTTACCAAATATTCTGGATGAGGGCTCCCTTAACTTTGAAAGGAAAAGAAATTAAAATATCCGGCAGGCACAGGCTGCGAGTGTCACGTCTCAGCCTAGATGGCTTCCTCCAGATCAGGGGCATGCAACATGTTTGCTGCCCGTGCATGGTGTGGCATGTGGGTAGCCATCCCAGACAGAGGATGGAAATAACAGCATTACGCAGCTCACAGGGAACACTGCAGGAAGGCCGCAGGAGGCACCAGGAAACAGTCCTGCTCTTACGGGTGTGTTAAGCAGAACCTCCCATGCACCACGCCAACCCCAGTCTTCCTCCTGTGTGGTAATTAGAGGCTTGAGGGAAGTACTACACAAGCACTTTTTTGTCTTATTAAAACAGTGTTTTTTAGGAATAGGTTATTCTCCTTCAAAAAACAGTGTTCCCTGCTTTTGTAAATGTTCTGTGACACTAATAATATATATTCAAGAGCTGCTTCTTTAGTGCTGAAAACTGCTATTGTAACAGTAGTATAAACTGCAAAATCATTTTATAGACCTCACTTCTATATTTAAAAGCACTGACAGAACTTAAAGTGGAAGCATAAGGAGGGAGGGAAAATGGATAGATCTGATGTCATCTATTAGAACAGCTCTTAGGTGAAGTGTAGGTTGGCATATTAACTTTTTGGAAAAAAAAAACACAACCCCCCCCCCCCCCCCCCCCCGAAAATATGTAAGCTACAATAAAACACAAGTCTGCTACTGATCTGCTAATCACCAATGTGATGACAGTATAGACTGCTGATAAACAATATGACTCAAAATGAGCATACAAGTTATGCAGAAGAGTATCAAAGTAGCCCATTGGCAGGGAAAGTTCCCTGGAGTTGCTTCCCTTGGGCATTAGTGAGGGTCTCTCTTGCCAGGCTGAGAAGATAAGAGCATGAGCTGCAGCACAGATAAAATGCAGCGCTGGATGTTTTGGCTGCACACTTGGGACCTGGTCTGTTGGCAGACAAGAAACCAAGGGAGAGGAGTGGATTTTAGAGGCGAGGGTCTCCTGCAAGCATTGCAAACCCAAGACAAAGTTTGTTCCACAAAAGACTACTTCACACTTGCACTGCTAAGCTGCTCAAAACTATATGAGACATTTAATGGCCACAGTTTTTCATTTTACCAGGAATGGCAGAGACTAATTTTAGGTGTCGTTCTGATCTTGGGCAAAGAAACGGTAAGAAAGGGACTCTGCTGATCTCTAACATGTCAGTCAGATGCCACATGCTGCTCTTGTTCAGGTCACAAGTGGCAGCCCCAGGAACATCTGCCCCTCTGTTCCTTT